GAAAAGACATCAGGTCAAAGGAAGTTAGCAGAAGAGAGTCTTCTCCTTCTCCCACATCTTCCAAAGCCTGCCGGGCTGAAGTCATTGAATCATGAAGTGCATTACTAGATATTTACCTAGGTAGGGTTAGATGTTTATCTAGGTAGAGTTAGATGGTCCACGGGTTATCTAGGTAGAATTAGATGGTTATCTAGATAGGTTTAGATATAGTATAGTATGATATATGGTATAGTGTCACACATACTCGAGTGGATAGTAGTCTGTATAACAATCGGTATATGTATATCAATCAACCATCTTTGAAGGCGTCTTGTTTTCTTGGTTCCTTCTATAGTAATCTTAACTGAGTTTGGAACATCCAAAGAATGTTTAATTATACAGTTGATTGTAACAATTGTATATAGAATACCTAGGTAGGTATATTGTCTACCTCTAGACCGTACACTATACGTGTATCATAGATCCTCCAAACCCTTCAAACCCTTCAAATCCTTCATCTTCGTCCTACCTAGTCATACAATTATAGTTTAGTTCACATCTGTGTCATTCTTGTCTAGAATCCAAGAGCTACATAGATCTGAGACCTGTTAAACTTTGTGCTGACTATTTACCCGTTGTCAGTGCACAATCGAAAGGTTTTGTGAGAATAACTGGGGAAACTACTTTCGGAACCATAGGAATGGGTTCCTGTTGATGTTCCGTTTGGATAGTCTGACTTTGGGGGTTTCTTGGCTGAAATTTTCTGGTGTGATGGTATCATGGGAGGAGGGGAATTTCATTTGCAACTGACTTGGGTTCGGATCACAAGTACAAACAAAGGATGAAGTATTAGACATAGAGCGGCACTCGGAATATCTCTAAGCCGGAATAAGTTATCAAACACCATTGGAATATTACAATTTACTATACATCTATCTTACATCTATCTATCTTACTTGCCTACTTGCAGATTATCATTTGCTGAATCCCTTGAATCCCTAGTCATTCAATCCCATTCTCTCCCATCCTCATGTCTATCTACAGAAGTCATTTCTTGTCAAAGTCAAGCATATTCTCTATCCCTATCCCTTTTCCTCTTCGGAAACCTCTCTCTCCTTCTCCTTCTCACTCTCACTCTCACTCCCCTATCATCAAATTGTCAATCAGTGCACCAACAATGTCTACGTCCAATCAAGCATCAGTCCTCAAAAAGCACATTGAACTTCTCCAAAAGAAATACACCGCATGTGATATTGCAGATGCTCTTGTCAAGCTCAAAGTGCCAGGTGCTGGTTTCCTTCCCGACCTCAAACCTGCCTTTACTCCAACATCTGAATCTTCCAACACAATTACTATTGCTCCTGTTTCAACTGTTATTTTTGCCGCAAAAAATAGCACAGATCTCTCCAATTACCCCACCGCAAACATTCCCACTGATAAGCATTGGGTCGATCTCACCGTGTCTGACTCGATCGTGATTATCAGTCAACCCGAGGGACAAAAGAATGCCGTGCTAGGTGGAATCATGGCGATGAGGGCTCAGGTTCTTGGCGCAAAAGGTGTGGTCGTTAGTGGAAGGGTCAGAGATCTTCAAGAGTTAGAGGCTACTGGAATACCTGTCAGTTTTTGAGCCATTTTTCTCCCATCTAAGCTTTAAGGGTCCTCGTGGAACCCCGCATGCTCCCCTTTACTCTTCGCCAAGATCACCTAATCGCAACTATCAAGTTGTCAAAGATGCTTCCCTCGATTTTCGAATTTTGCTAATGAATCCCGTAGGTATGGTCTCGTGGCACATCAATTGTTGGGGCTGGTGCTGAATCCAAGCCCCACGCTGTTCAAGTGGCGTTGAAAATTGACGGCACAGACATTCACCCTGGAGATTTGGCATTTTGCGATCCTGACAATGGCGTGGTTATCATTCCACAAGGAAAGATAGCCGATGTTGTCTCCATTCTGCCAGATCTTGTTGCAGCGGATGATCGTGTAAAAGAAGAAGTCATGAAAGGAATGTCGGCCCAAGAAGCATTCAAAAAGCATCGAGGATGATAGTCTGTTGAAGATGCATGCTTAAGTCACTGTGGTTGCTATGTTTTTATTATACGCTGTTATCTTTGGCTGCCATCATGCCATGCAAATAGAAATGAAACTTGGGCTGCATTCTTAGACAACCTCGCGGCTTTTGGTCTGGCTACTTTCACGATAGTATCTTAGAAGTATAGAACACATACGACGGCCTCATCTAAACATGGCATTTGAGGAGAATATAGCTCGCAGTAAACACTACAATCGTTTAAACACGTGTACTGAGTAAGCTCCTGCACAGAGTCGTCCCTGATCAAGCTGGTCATTTGCCCTCTTCCGTTTCAACCCTTCAATGTTCTCAGGTCTGTATCATACCATTGAACCCCAATAGTGGAAAGAGACAATAATACACCACAGAGCTTTGCTCGATTAGTAGAACATCGAAAGTCTTGAGCGGGGGAAAACCTTCGCGAATTGAAAGACCTGGCTGGAGGAAAATAACTGATGCACTTGGCTCGCTTCACCGGTAGACCGTTAGAACCCAGAGAGGTATACGAAGCAAGCAGACTACTCGAAGTACGCCCGAATATTCATGAAGATTAGGAGCTTGGTAAATGAGGATTGAAGCCATTTACTATTCCTCCCGGTCAGTAGCGAACTGTCCATCACAGGTTTGCGCACATTTCCTACGGACTCATAATAATTTACCAGCATGAGGCACGGATAAGATGTACCGAAAACGCAGGGTACTGGCCACAGGCTCTCCTTTTCGAGTGTACCGAAGACGCATGCTTGCATGATCCAGGCACTGAAACGGTACAAATCAAGGAAAAGGTAGAGAGCATCTGTTTCTTTCTTTCAAGACAATCTCAACTCTTTAACTTTTTCTCCCATTCGTCGCGTTTCTCATCTCCCAAAGCATTATAAGCATTCCCGCATATTTCTACTTTTTTCTTCTCTTGCCTTGTGCAACAGGCTGCAATCACTTTCACATTGCACACATTATGCATTTGGAATGCTTGTTACTGCCACTAGATGTTGGAAGACCGTCATGACTTCTGTTCTGTGAGCAGAATTGTCGCTTCTAGTATCTATACCGTCAGTTGAAACGAGGGGGGCCATGAAGTAAAGGGGTTGAGAATGTACGAGTCAGACTGAGGAGCTTGGAGAAAGGTAAAGGGGTCCGGTTGATGAGGTTGTTGCAAATGTTGCAAGTGCAAGTGCAACACAAGATACTGTTCTTGGACACTTCCAGGTGGGCTTCATAATAAATGTTTCATCTTTAGAGATCATCCCCTGACAATTATCACTTCCTGCCAGTCACTATGCCTTACTGTCCCGAATCCGACCTCCATTTCTCCAGAGCCCTTTTAACAAAGCTTGCTGCCACTAGCAATATGCCCGTCTTTCACTTGCAAAGGTAAACTTCTGCAACAGGAGTATGCTGCAAGAGAAGCGTAAGGCATCTCTGGCTTTTGGACGTAGATGTCACAGGAGAAATACCAGATAAAGGTTCCGTTCTTGCCGAACCATTCATAGCTGGTGGCTGGTATTCTTCTTTCTGCTGTGAAGGAACCCGGTTCCACTAGCTGGGATGAATAATCGTTAACGGCACTGATCAGAACTTTCATGATGTTGCTCCTGGAGAAAATTCAGTTTGGCTTACCAATAGAAATATAGTGGTCACTGTCTTAGATTTACCATCGTTGGTGTATGCTCTTAAGTAACAAGACTTCTTGAAGCAATCTCTATATTGGATTTTTGTTCATTATGCCTTCAAGTGAAGAGACTCTGGTCTGTGGACAATACATTGGGTTGAAGTTTTCCCATTCTTTAACCATTCACACGAATACACATTTGCAGGAGATTTTGTGTGGGTTGTAGAAGGCAAATCGAGTTCAATTATCCGCAGTATCTGATTTCCTTCCTTCCTTCCTTCCTTCCTTCCTTCCTTCCTTCCTTCTCATCTCATCTATCTCATTCCCCAGAGTCGGAGCATAAACACAGCAACATCTCGAATGCAAAACAACACACCGGACATATAAAAACGAAGGAGAACCTGCTAGCAGAAGAGATATTAGCCCACAATCCCCAACCTTACAATCCGATATCCCAATCCCAGACAACCAACACAAGACAGAATAGAGCATCAAAGAGACAATACTCACAAATATCACCACTAGTAAAAAACCAATTTCCAAGCCTCCTGCTGCAAAACCGAGTCTGCTACGTCGGGATGTTCGATCTATTTTTGTAGGATGTTAGATTTCTCATCTCGTTTTCTTCTCCTCCCCCTCTTCCCACAAAAATAAAAAATATAATAAACACACCTTTAACTCACTCCGCACCCTCATCACCTCCGCTACCATCCCTCCGAATAATTTCTTCCCTTCTTCTATTTCCCTGCTTTTCTTTTTCTCTTCTTCTCTCGCTGCTTTCAGATCTTTCTTTGCTTTTTTGCGGAGGGCGTGGAAGAGGAATGGAGAGGGGGTTGTGGATTCTGCGTTGGGGGTTTGAGGGTTGGGGTTGTTTTGGGGGGGGTTCTGGTTTGGCGGGTTGGATGGGGGTGTTGCTGGAGATGGGGTGTTGGTGATGAGGAGCTGGGGATAAGAGGAGTTTGGAGGACATTGTTATGATTGAAAGGGAGGAGAAGGATGGGTTTGTTAGGATGGTCGAAGTGGTGGTAGTGGGTATTTGGAAAATGGTAGTTGGAATTCGGAGGATAGTGTGTGGTTATTTGGATTTGGTGTGGAGGATGAGAATATTCGGAATGTATGAATGCATGAGTGTAGATGAGAACTCGACAACGGAGTTGTAATTAGATCAGTCGAGGTTTACAGGATGTCAGAAATTGATGAGGACTGGATATGCGGGAAGTCACTTTTACTTTTCTAATTCAGACTTCAGTTCAAACGAAATAGTGGTCATGTTCATGATACAAACGATAATGATTCTTGGGTATCTTGTGGCATTTCTCTATAATATCTAATATATGTAATTTATCCAGCCGCGAGAGCCAACCCCTCCATCCTCCTTCTTAAGGTCGAACTCTCTTCTTCATCTTCTACATCTACCTCTATCTCCATTTTCGGACGATTCTTATTCAATCCCTCTAGTAAAACGCATGCCTTGCATATCTCTTGACTGGACATATATCCACATTTCTTACACGTTCCCAGTGTTTGTTTTGTGAGTTTTCGACCATCCTTCTTGCCACCTTTTTGTGTTTGGGTTTTATCTATTATATCGTGACGTTGACCGTTGGTGGTATTTAATGCGATAGATGTTACATCGATTTCTCTTCCCGAAGCTTCTTCGTCTGCTTGAAGTTTCTTTTCCATATCCGCCATCTCCCCTCCACTGGATCGACCATTAGTTCCGCAACCTCCATTGCCTTCTTCCTCCTCATTGGTAGCTGCTAATGAGACTTTTTGACTCTTGCAGTGACTGATTCCGGTAACTTCTGCTGGTACTAACTTCGCCATGTCTTCTCCGCTGCGCACAACATCCAAGATGGCACTAGGTCGTACTCTCTCTAGATTCTTGATCAAACTTCGCGCGCTACCTCTGAAAGCCTCGGGACTGTATAGACATTCCGTCGTGAAATAATCCAACTTCTTGTGATGCGCATAGAGCACAATCTCCTTCTCATACGCATATTTCAGAGGCTTGCTTCTACGCACCTCGCTCGATTCGTCACCGGTGACGATACTAGTACTCCTCGCCAGCCGGGGTAAATCTCCGCGCAGTAGATTCATCAAAATAGTTTCTGCGACATCATCTGCATTATGTCCCGTAACCACATGGTTGATGCCCAGCATTTTTGCCCCTCGATCTAAAGCCTGTCTGCGAAAGACACCACAGTATGTACAATTTCCCTTCTTGCCTATTGTTTCGACTACTTGATCCATGGTCCATCCATATAGTTCATCATATCCTACAATCTTAAGAGCCATATCGTATTGGACCGCATTGCGCTTGACAGTTTCGAGGGAGTCATCGCGATAGCCTTTTATTCCTTCGTCGATACTTAGTAGAACGAGTTCGAGTCCGTAATTATATCTTTCATTTAGAGTTTTGAGAACCGAAGCCAGTACTGTTGAGTCCTTTCCTCCGGATGCTCCTATTGCGATTTTGTCGCCTGCTGAGAAAAGTGATGTGGAGGTAATTGTATGATGAATTTCGGCTTCAAATATACCGATAAAACATGCTTTACATAGTTTTTGATGATTCTTTGGTCGAATAATTAAAGCTCTTGCAGTCTTGCAAATGGCACAAGGTGTTGGTGCCATCGTTGTTCGAAAATAGTTGTCGAAGGCAAACAATATCGCAGAACTTCTTATCCACAAATCATCGCGGGGAATTAATAAAAATGTCGATAGTGAAGTTTATCAAACGGACAAACTGCCCGCTTCTCACGTGAGCTTAAGTCCAGAATCGCTTAGCGTGCCAAGATTTTCAGAACTCTAGCGCGCACACTCAATAATTCTCAAAATCGAGAAAACCTTTTCCTGTTGATATTATTCCTCTCGACGACAACTACGAATCGACAACTTCTCGCCGCTTCGAAATCGATCAATATGGTAAGCTATCAATGTTTTTGACTGTCTTTTTAATGAAATAATACGACTCGCCATCAGCTCTCGTACCTCTACGAGCAATCGCACGTCGAGATGCAATTTTCAATCAAATTACCTCTCAAGGTTTTTGATTTTGATTTGGCTTGAGCTATGTTCTGTGTAGAAATACCAGATGTAGTCTCTTTAGAGTTCAAAGAAGACACTTGGTGAACACTCGCTGATGTCTACTTTTCTCAATGACAGCCTCCAAAGTCCGGAAAGAAGGCGGCGCCAGCCCCATTCCCCCAGTCCAAAGCTGGTGCGGGATCAAAGAAGGCAGCCAAGGTACGTGAATTCCATCCTCGTTTTGACGTCCAACCAAATACTAATGAGAATAAGAACCCTCTCATCGAGAAGCGTACCCGTAACTTCGGTATCGGTCAAGACATCCAGCCCAGAAGAAATCTTTCCCGTATGGTGAAGTGGCCCGAGTATGTCCGTCTTCAACGCCAAAAGAAGATCTTGAACATGAGATTGAAGGTCCCACCTGCGATCGCTCAATTCCAACACGTTCTCGACCGCAACACCGCCGCCCAAGCCCTCAAGCTCCTCAACAAGTACCGCCCAGAGACCAAGCCTGAGAAGAAGGAGCGTCTCTTGAAGGAGGCCACCGCCATCAAGGAGGGAAAGAAGAAGGAAGACGTCAGCAAGAAGCCATACGCCGTCAAGTACGGTCTTAACCACGTTGTTGGTTTGATCGAAGCTAAGAAGGCCTCTTTGGTCCTCATCCCTAACGATGTTGACCCAATTGAGTTGGTTATTTTCCTTCCAGCTTTGTGCAAGAAGATGGGTGTCCCATACGCCATCATCAAGGGTAAGGCCAGACTCGGCACGGTCGTTCACAAGAAGACCGCTGCTGTTCTCGCCCTTACTGAGGTTCGCTCCGAGGACAAGTCCGAGTTGTCGAAATTGGTTCAAGCCATCAAGGAGGGACATGATGAGACCGCTACCAGACACTGGGGAGGTGGAATCATGGGTGCCAAGGCTAACGCCCGCACTGAGAAGAAGCGCAAGGCCCTTGAGAGCGCTATCAAGATCTAAATATGATCATATAGTGACTTTTACTTCCGGCGTTTTTTTATGATATTATGGCATGGCAGGGACACTTAGCTAGGCAAGCAGCTTAAGAATTCAAAATATGAAGGCTGTATGATATCATAATTTATTTGACTTTTTGATTTTGTTCAAACAGTACGTGCGGGTGCCCTTTGCAAATCTTTGTGATCTCTTTTTCATTTCCTTGTGTTACATCGGAATCTCTTCCCTTTCCCCGTCCCCCAAGAAAGTCTAGTCAATTCTATCAAATTTTGATCCATCACACTTCCAATATCAATCCCACAACACAACTGGGATAATCCCATAATGGTTAGGTAATGATACATTAACATTGAAATTATGCCCAACTTACAGCCAAGTCTGTGTCTATGAAAAGAGAATTAGGAAAAAGGACGGAAGAATTTTTAGAATTTTCTTGGAAAGGGCTTGGGGAAACACAACCAAGAGTTGATAGCCACGGCAAAACATGGGAAACCAAGGTAAGCTCCGGCACTCGGACGGACTGTCGGGACAATCGGGATTTTGTAGGTGTGGAATGAATCTTGGTATACCTTCATGTATGAAATGGATGGATCATGGGTACGATGAATCATGGGTATGGAAATCGAGAAGTTCTCAGGGGAAGCTATTCAACAATGAAGATATATGGTTTTGTATGTAGAGGTCGAATCTGGACCTGAGTAAATGGTATCAATGGCATTGTCATGTCTCGGGAGTACGGCTTATACTGGGGGTTTAATATATGGAATTTGAGGGATATAGATATGCGAGATATGAAGTTATATCGGAATGGAAGACGGAAGGGAGAGCGGAAGAGAAGATGGGGAAGAGAACGAGGGATGTAACATGGCGATGAAGCCGACACGCAAAGGTTGAAGGGAAGCGGCGGGAAAGGCAGAGGAAGTACGAAGTACGAAGTGGTGAGAGATGATACTTTGACACTGCCTGGTACACTTGGATGGATCCGATACGTCACAAGTGTTTGTTTGATACTCTGTGGCTTTTTCCCCATCCGGAGATCTTGGGAATGCTCAGACAGACATGGATTGTTTTATGTGTGGTGTTGTCTTTACATTAGAAGGATGATCGATTTGCTTATTTATTCATCTTTTTTCTTGAGAGTTTCACTACTTTGAAATCTTATTATTAAGTATTTATTGATGCAGAGATAATATCTATTACTATTAAGATATTATATACATCCATGGATATCATAAATATATCATCTAAAATATACCGACCGACCTAATCATTGCATATATATATACCAGTATGTATACCATAGAGAAATAATCATCATCCAGCTTTCAAATTCCCACACCACATCCATCACATCACATCAAGTTCTCATCCCACGAATTGAATTGAGTAATTCCAATTGGCCAACTCTTATCGAAGGAAAATAGATTCTCTTATCGTATCAGTTCAAAAACCCTGGCTCCTTGGTTTCTTGGTATGTATGACTGGCTGGCTGGATCACTTGGTTCTCTTTCTTTGACTTCTGAATTTGAAATCTTATTATATTTTATTAGTCTTCTCTCTAATTCCACTAGCTCCACCACCCTTCTAACTTTGAACGTGCTGAAGTCTCCATTTCACTCAATTCGGCCCCCTCAACACTTTTGGAAGAAAACTAAATGTGCTAAGATCGGCCCCGTTCAAAACTTATTACTCATATATTCTGCTCTCCATCTTTCAATCTATCTCGTCGTAAAACCCTACGCAATACAATCGCAACGAGTTCCTACATACCTCCTATTCTGGATACCTACGAGATTGAAATACGATACTTGACGATTACGAAGACTAGGAGATTTTCTATAAAGACACCAAAAAGTCTTTGTGGAATTTAAGAAGAAGGAAGAATTTCAATTGATGGAAAGAAGTTTGGGAAATTGTTACAAGAATTATAATGGGCTCTGGTAATTATCCCCTCTTATAATTATTCCATCACCTCTTGTATACTCTCTTGTTATATCTGGGAGTGTATACAGAAAGAAGACGACAGGAAAATCATGACGCCCATACTGACAATCCCCCAGAAACTCCCTTCGATTATGCCTTGAGCTCCAACGCCGCATGGGCAGGCTATAAAAGCCATCAAAACCCCAAATTCTTCCCTACCATGGCCCAAGGCCAAACTCCCAGCATCCGTAAGTCCTCCCACCTACGCTTCCCAGGCCCCGCTCTCTTTACCCCCCTCCCCGCGGTTAAACAACAGTCCTGACACCCCCCAGTCTGGCTCGGTTGCTCCGACTCCCGTGTGCCCGAAACCACCGTTCTCGGTCTCCAACCCGGTGATGTCTTCGTCCATCGTAATATCGCCAATATTGTCTCGCCTACCGATATCAATTCCTCGGCCGTCATCGAATATGCCGTTGCGCATCTGAAGGTATCGCATATTGTTGTGTGCGGGCACACTTGCTGCGGTGGTGCTGCTGCTGCGTTGGGAGGTGCAAGGGTAGGTGGGGTTTTGGATACTTGGCTTGCGCCGCTCAAGGCATTGAGCAAATTGCACGAGAGGGAATTAAAGGGGATCAAGGAAGATTCCGCAAGGGCGGTCCGTCTAGCGGAGTTGAATGTTGCGAAAGGAGTGGAGGTGCTTATGGGAAATGTGGTTGTGGAAGAGGCGGTCCGCGAGAGGGGATTGAAGGTTCATGGTGTTGTGTATGATATTGGCTGTGGAAAGATTCGGGATCTGGGAGTAGGAAATTGCAATGATGAGGAGGAGGAAGAAGAAGTTGCCGGGACAGATGGAGTCGCGGAGTCGAAAGGAGCAAAGGAGTTGGTCCAAGGTGCGCATGGAATGCTGGTTTTTGGAAAGGGGGGAGCAACGCTCAGTACCGCGTAATGGGGATGAAATGTACGGATAGATAAGTTTTGGATACGCACACATACATGTTATACTGTGTAGAATGAGAGGGAAGGGATAGGCAGACGGGAATGGGAGTTTGAGGCAAGGCGGGGTTTTGTTTAAATCGAGCAAAGATGAAAGGAGAGCTGTTTGGGAATTAGATCGATTAGAAAGTCGAAAACAATAAATGTCATTTAATAAATTATCTATAAAAAAAATCATATTAAAATGACATGGTCATCGCACATACCTAGGTTTATGTATTGGATAATTATCCCTGTACAAAATTGTGGAAGATGAATGTAGGAAATACCATTAATGTCAGAGCAATGAAGTATCAGATCAGTATCTGCTTTTTTCTACCTTTTTCCTGGTTGGGTTTTGGAGTTGTCGATTGCTATTAGTATAGCAAAGTTTATTGGTGTTTTCTCTGTCTCTTCTCTTTCCCTTCTCTTTCCCTTCTCTTTCCCTTCTCTTTCCCTTCTCTTTCCCTTCTCTTTCCCTTCTCTTTCCCTTCTCTTTCCCTTCTCTTTCCCTTCTCTTTCCCTTCTCTTTCCCTTCTCTTTCCCTTCTCTTTCCCTTCTCTTTCCCTTCTCTTTCCCTTCTCTTTCCCTTCTCTTTTGGAAACTCCATGAGATTGGATTGGATTGGATTGGATTGGATTGGATTATTGGATTATTGGATTGGAATAGAATAGAATAAACTATCTAGTCCTAAAGATAGATATCTAGATAGTATTCTCATATCGAGTAGGACTGGTGGACATGGAAAGTAAGAAGTCGGAAGTAAGAAGTCGGAATACCATGCCATGCTATACTATGTTATGCTATGCTATACTATATTATATATAGTAGATTCGTTATATCGTTGTATCATCATATTATTGTATCATGATATTATTGTATTATAACATTAGTATACTCCTTCCTCTCATATCATAATGATAATCACATTTCCCCTCGAAGCTTCAGAGTCTTCAGAGTCTTCAGAGTTCCCAGTTGATATCCGTTACTACACTACTTACCTCGAATCTCAGGTCTCAAACCTCAAACCTCAAGCTTCAAGCTTCGATTAAGTCTGAAATATACTGTACTGTGTTTTATTGTATCTCTTGAGATTTTCATTGACTATTGTGTAGGTAGCTATCGATGTATTAGATAGGTGAGTAGGTAGGTAGGCAAGTAGGCAGGTAGATAAGTAGGTAGGTAGATAAGTAGGTAGGTAGATAAGTAGGCAGGTAGATAAGTAGGTAGGTAGATAAGTAGGTAGGTAGATAAGTAGGCAGGTAGATAAGTAGGTAGGTAGATAAGTAGGCAGGTAGATAAGTAGGTAGGTATGAATAAGCATTCATGAACTATAATCTATGGACTATGATAGATCGGGTGGTTGTAGTTGCGGTTGCAGCGAGATATGTTGCAATGGGAGTTTGTTGGCCGGTAGAAGATTAGGTATCTAGGTAGGTATCTAGATGTGGAAAGTTTGTGTGTGATTTTGGTTTGGTTGGTTGCTTGGTTTATAGATAGGTGATGTATTGTGCTGTGATGTGATATTTTGTGATGTGATATATGTATACCGATACATTAGATGCTTTTGATGCTTTTGATGCTTTTGATGCTTTTGATGCTTTTGATGCTTTTGATGCTTTTGATGCTTTTGATGCTTTTGATGCTTTTGATGCTTTTGATGCTTTAAATCATCCCATATTCTTCACTCCCCATCCCCATCCCCACTCCTCCATATACAAACCACCAAAATCGAAATCAAAAATCAAACATCTAGGAACCAAGAAGTTCCAACCTTTCGCTGAATAACACCGCCCCCTCTCCCCTCCCCCTCTCCCCTCCCCCTTTCCAAGGTCGAAAACTTCAAGCACAACTAGAGTGTACATAATCCCAAGTCTGATGTTCTGAGTAGCGGGGAAGTCTTTGATCTTGCTTGTAAAAGGGTGTATCAAACCACTTGACTTCTTGATGCTGTAGGAGATATACATGCTTGGAAGACGGAAAGATGGAAGATAGTAGAAGTAAAGAATTGGATGTAGACACATTCGGCAAGTGAAAATGAAGATTCCATCATTGGAGTCTTCCTTTAAAAGAGTTTTTCATATATCTTGCAAATATGATAAGTATGTTGAATATGATATCCTCTTATTTCATATTGTTCTCCTCTTTCAAAACTCATGTGGTATCTATCGTAACGCATTAACATGGTTTCTCGTCCCGAATCTATCCTTTTTTGTAACTCCAGTATTTCCCTATCTCATATGCATCTCGTTATCTCAAAAGCCCTCTACAGAAACACCCACCCCCTTTTCCCTCGCTAACCTGACCAACTCCGCCCCAACCACCAAATCCATAAGACCCATCCCCACACTCTTATATATCACATTTCCATTCCTCAACCATCTACTCATTGAATCTTCCTTTTCTGTCTGCACCTCCTTTCCTAACATTCCTAATGTACCACTTGAATTAGTAGTATTTGTGCTTGTGGATCCTGTTCTGGGTTTGCGGAAGGAGAAAGAAGATTTACGAGAAGGGCTGCGAGAGGATGAGGGGGAGGTGGAGTGTTCGGAGTGAAATATGTTGGCCATGCTGCGAGCCAGAGGTGGAGAGGTGGGAGAGAGTGGTGAGCCTGGGGTCGGTGTTGCGTCACCGTTGCCAGTTCCGTCTATGTGTAAATTGTGGAGGTCGAGTGAGCTACGTGGAGATTCATCTGAATCATCAATGGCAGATGAATAGTTGAGAGGGTCGATTCCATGGGACAGCATGACCAATTCGCCCAATTCGACCAAATTCTTTGCCGAAACATTACCTTGAATTATTTCACCTGCTTCTTGTTTGCATCCGTCTATCGTATCAACTACGATTACTCCACCTTCTTCGGCATGCCTGTGAAAATGATGGCCACTTCCATGAACTTTAACTGCTTGCGCCACGAGTTCAAGAGGTATTTCGATCATATGAGGTTTATAACTGCCTATGGCGACAATGAGCCGTCCCTTCTTCCTACCTTCTGTATTTGTTAAAATAGAATGAGGGAATAAAGGCGAGGTAGAAGGAGTTGTGCAAAATATGACATCCGAAGCTCGAATATATTCTTTCTCGAGACGAACAAATTCTCCATAGGCAGGGCTAAGAACAGAGAATTTTACATTGCTCCAACCTTCACGTTCCTTCGTAGCAGCAGGTACTTCGAGAAATGACTTCATTAGATTGCGCACCCGGTCCGTAAAAGCGCGAGATATGATATTTATTTGTTTTATAGTTGGGCCGCGGAGAATGAGAGCGAGACGGACGTGCCAAAACGCTTGCTTTCCAGCACCAAATACTGTTATAGTTTTGACCTTGGTACGGGGTGTAATGAGAAGAGAGGAAGCTAGAGCTGTGCGAAAAGCAGTGGTTTCTGATGCATTGAGAAAGCCGAATGGCAGCCCTGTTTTATCCATGAGTGTAAGAGAACCTTGAGGAGTGCTTGGATTTTTCGTCGATGAAGAGGTGGATATGGAGTCCGAGTCCGAAGATTCATTGAAAGAACCTGGCTGAGGAAGAGTAACAACTGTGATTGTTAGAACCTGGTGTTACAGTATAACCAAGAAAGGAGGTTTACCTTTCATTCCAATGCCCGCAGATGCAGTAGAGGGCATAAATAGTGTTGTCCTTTTATGCTTTGACTCAAGAACTGTTCTTCTAGGTTGATGCAAGCTGCAGCAATCATCATCCTGAGTTCCTGTAGAATACTCATGAAGAGCTCTTCTCATCTGATCCTGAAACCCTTCGAGATCTTTTAGAGTGAGGTCTTGAAGGAGATGTTTGATATCCGAGTCTGTTAACACGGTGAGAGACATTTTGGAAGCTGTGTATGACCTAGTTCCACCGTTGAGCTTCTACCGTCTCGTGTACTTGGAGTTGTTGTAGTTTTCCTCGAGCATATACATGAATGAATCAACGAAAGAGGAGTTTGTTTAGAAGCCAAGACTTGAATTACTCGAGAGTCAAGCAAGTTGATTACAATTGTGTAAAGTACAAAGCAAGGGTTCATTCTCATGGAATTACGAAGGTGGGGTGGGATGAGGATGCTTATCGGTGCTCTTTATCTTAGCTTGAGCGGGCTTAGTCGGGTATAAAATCCGAGAAAATCCATATTGACCCCTTCATCAGAAGAATCAGCTCAGTGTTCCTTTTTGCTTGAATCGTATTGGAGTCGGTACCAGACATATCTATCTACCATGTAGTAGTACACATAGGCTTTCTACAGCCGTCCTTGAAGCTATTCGATCGAAAGCTTTACAATACTTTCAGGATAATGGACAAGGCAAAGAAGAAGGTGCTATGGAAATCACAGGCCCAGATTACATCACCGTATGGAATATCGGATCTGGAAAGCGGCAGCAGCTCAATTGTGGTTCAATGAGGGGTAGCTCCACTTGAATTGACAAATAGATCTCACCTGCAGATTCGTAGCTAGATTTTAATTCATTGAGTCATTCCAAAAGTTAAGGGAATCTCATCTCTCTCCGTCTCACAATATCTTTCTTCCGGAACTTCATATTCGTGGTCAAAGGCTTTCACAGAACATCATAGTGGCACAACATGTCGGCCCCCAAAGAACTTAAGATGGAATACACAAGACTCGGTAACTCGGGATTAAAGATATCCAAGGTTATCTTTGGTGCCATGTCTTTTGGATCATCTGAATGGCAAGACTGGGTAGCTATTCCTCAATTTGATTTGTTACCAAGTGCTTTGCTAACATAATAAGGTACTTAACGAGGACGAAGCTCTTCCATTATTGAAACACGCATACGATCTCGGGCTGAATACATGGGACACTGCAGATACTTACTCCAACGGAAGATCCGAGGAAATCATCGGAAAAGCATTAAAGCAATACTCAATTCCAAGAAGCAAGGTTGTTATTCTTAGTAAATGCTACTTCGGTGTTGCTGAAGATGGAACACAACCGCATATTTCGACGCTTCGTACAAATGATGGGGAGATGGTCAACCGGGTTGGCTTGAGTAGAAAGCATATTCTTGACGCTGTGGACAAGAGCGTTGCTCGATTAGGAACACATATCGATGTCCTGCAGATTCACAGACTCGATCGCGATACTCCCAGGGAAGAAATCATGAGAGCCTTGAATGATGTTGTGGAAAGTGGCAAAGTTCGGTATATTGGTGCAAGCAGTGTAAGTTGGATGATGCATCATAAGATTAACAGTGGAGACTTACATATGGTAGATGGCTGCATGGGAATTCCAGACACTACAAAATATCGCAGAGAAGAAAGGCTGGCACAAATTTATCTCCATGCAAAATTATTACAACTTGCTTTACCGTGAAGAAGGTATGTTTCTCACTGAACCCTGTACGCTTTCGAGATACTTATACAATTTGCAACTAGAACGAGAGATGATTCCATACTGCAGAGACGTTGGTGTTGGACTCATTCCGTGGAGCCCAATTGCCCGAGGAGCACTTGCTCGTCCTTTCAATGATCGAGGCACAAAACGTGAAAATAGCGATATGATGCTCAAGGCTTTGATCCGCAGCAAAGAGACTGAAATCGATAAAACCGTCATTAACCGTGTTGAGGAGATTGCAAATAAAAATGGAGTTAGCATGGCAACTATAGCTATTGCTTGGTGTCTTAACAAGGACAGCGTCAATCCAATTATTGGCTTGAGTAGCAAAGAGAGAATTGAGCAAGCGGTAGAGGCGGTCAAGTTCGCTAGTTCTGGAAAATTGACTGCAGAGGACATTGCATATCTTGAGGAAGGCTACGCACCTAAGGTTGTACAAGGTTATTAAAATATATTGAATGGCATCCATGTGGCTTGCAAGGACAGGAATCACAACCGGGTCCAAGTACTTTACATTGTCATACCTTTCTATTGGTCCAACAAAGAATGCCATTCATGTCACCAACAGGCGATTCATGCTTTGTCGTTTATCTTTTCTAGATTGGATTTCTTTTCATTGTCCATTTGTATTTCATAAATGGATTCTCCGACTTGATGCATGTCAAATATCAGAAACGATGAAGGTTACAAAACCATCGCTGTCATGGTAAATCAGAACTTCTCAACTATTGATCACCGTCAGCCATCTTGCTCCCACACTACTAGGAATTATATTCTTACAGAGTAATGATCAGCATGATTATTAATTTCTCGTAAGACGCCCTTTTCTTGTATACAATCCTTGTGTTTCACCACATCATATCAATGTGACTTGAAGTCCATACAAGGTTCTTACAGTCTCATAGTAAGCCTCCCTCGATTACAATTCATCTGCTTTCAGTCCCAAACTCACGGGTCGGCTCGGGATTCCAGTCTGGGCAAGCTTTCCCCTGATTTCACTAGCTCTTATTAGTAGCCTCCTAGTGGGGTAAAAAGTGTCATCGTCAGAACTGATAAGAGAGGGGTCGGAAAGTATGACCAATACAGGACTCATCAAAGGAAGAAGCGTTGCTGTACAACCACATCTATCAAATTAATTGCATATACTGTATGCGACAACAACATTCAGTCAATATATCATACATTCACTTGCCAAGAGGTCAAATTCCACAGAACTGAATCATTCCGAGGCCTCCAATAAGCTGTTGAGAGTCCTCAGATGTGGATCAGCAGATAACCATCCCCCCACTTTATCTTGATTATCTTCTTCTTCTGTTTGATAGGATTCAGATCTTTCCCATACACTGCTTGAGTACAGTTACAAAGCTTTTGGTTGAGGTTCAAGACAAGAAGTACTTCTCAGAAACCCATCATCATGGTTGCCATCTCTACTCTTGGGCTTGCAGGTCTCTTGATTGGTCTCGTATGGAGATTCATCATCTATCCTGCATTTATCTCACCTTTGGCAAAGATTCCAAATGCACACTGGTCTTCTCCATTTTCTCCTACCTGGATTCTGTTTCAGCGATTTCGATGTCGGGAAAATAGGACAGTTCATGCGCTACACAGACAACTAGGTCCCTTAATTCGACTAGGTCCAAATGAGCTCTCTACTAATGATGTAGAGGGCATTCGAACTGTATATGGAGGTGGGTTTGAAAAGGGGAAGTGGTATTCTTTCTTTGATAACTTTGGGTAATTTATTTCCTTGCAAGATTTTTGCGAGAAATTCTCTAACCACGTGGTAGTATCCCATGTATGTTTTCAACGCTCCCCTCGAAGAATCATTCTTCTCGAAAGAGAATGATTTCGAATACCTACTCAAAGTCTACATTACTATCTTCACCTGCCTTGGCTGAACAAGCAAGAGTCATTCTCTATGAACGTCTTCTACCTACCATCTCAAACTTGGCCTCGTCTTCAAGTCCTCATGGAGTCGACGTTTACGATTTATTCAATGGCACTACTATGGACTTTGTCTCTTCATACCTATTTGGACTCAAGAATAGTGCCAACTTTATCAAAGATGTCTCATATAGAAGGCATTGGATGAGACTGTACCAGAAACGCCATCGTTATACTTTCTATTCACAAGAGCTTCCCCGCCTTACTCGATTCATCAATACTTATATCTATCGTATCGTTCCCACATTTGTCGATTCCGCCAATGAAGAATTAGAAGAATGGTGTCAACATCGGTGCGAAGCTACTGCCAAATTTCTCAAGGAGGGCGGATCATGGGACACGGAACCTGGCAATGAACCGGTAGTGTACAATGCGATGGTATCTGGCATTGAAAAGGAAAGTAAAATGCGTGGTGCGGACTCCGTTCTCAAGGAGGAAACACTCAGGTTTCCAGATCGTAGTATATACAGTGAGATGATCGATCATCTTGCTGCTGGCCACGAAACCGCAGGCATAACGGTTACATATTTAGCATGGCACTTATCCATCGATCCCATGCTTCAGAAATCTTTAAGAGAGGAACTCCTGACTCTTTCACCCAGCATGCTCTTCTCACCCGCATCTGCATCATCCAAAACACCAACGATTCCCGATCGTAAAGAACTCGATGCTCTTCCCATCCTCCACGCAGTCCTAATGGAAACTCTTCGTCTCCGCGCTGCTATTCCAGGTGGTCTTCCCCGAATGACACCATATCCTAGTTGCGATATTGGCGCCTACAAGAATATTCCTGGTGGTGTTAGAATCGGTGCGCAAGCTCACAGTGTCCATCGAAACGAACAGGTTTTCCCAGAGCCCGAGAGATTCGACTATATGCGATGGATGGAGGGAAATGGTATGACTGACGAGCAGAAACGTGAAAGGGATAGGACATTTTGGGCTTTTAGTAGTGGAGGAAGAATGTGTATTGGGAGCAATTTTGCTATGCTTGGTTAGTTTTTCTGGATATTTTACCTTCGTTTCTTGCCTCGTTCTGTATCTTTCCTTTTCGTGTCAATTACTTTTTTCCTCTTCGAGCAAAAGAATAAAAAAAACTAACCATCATTCTAGAAATCAAACTCATAGTAGCAGCTATCTACACCAATTTCAGCACTTTGGTCATAAATGACGATGGCGTTGATCAGATGGATGGATACACCTGCGGACCATCTGCTGGTAAACTTCATCTTCAATTCGAGCACGCACCTGCTCCATCAGTCGTTGAGAATTGATATTTCAAGGACAAATATATACCCATACACGGATGGTGGATATAGATTCATTTCTAGGCGTTGTATTTTGTTTATGCAGTTGAATCGCGGTGGTCTGCCATTTCTAAACCCCAGTTCTTTAAGATATCTTTTAACAATATTCATTCGATGATCTTAAATACATACTATGCATCACTGATCATGCTAGTTCTAATGATACATAATGAAGCGAGAGCGGTGAAACTCCTATTTACACACAAGATTACCAAACTTCACCACCGTCACTTCTTTTCCCATCCAACGGTCCTCTAAGTTTGTCAATTCATAATCTCTATGTCTATATAACTCTCTATCTCCTCTCAAAAATCAACATACACTCCTGACCCCTCGGTCTACTAGATATGATTTGATCTTCCATCTCCATATCTGCTTCGTATCCTTCTTTTATCCTCGTTCTGTATTGCGTATAGATCCTCTGTATGAGATGACGCATTTCTGCTAGTGCTAGACTGTGTGAATATGAGTATTAGTTTTATAATAATATATATCACACATTATTTATATTCCCTCTCTGTCTAGACGGAAAGGAAAATTCGAAAAAGCAGAAAGAAAATAGTAGAAAGGAAGAAAAAGTAAACATACTCTTTCCCCGTACACACTCTTCCACCCCTCCCAAAAGCCAAAAATCCCCTCTCCATCTCTCTCACTATGTCTTCACCCACAAGCCATCGTTCTGGATAGAACATCTCGGCGTCATCGCCGAATGTTGCGGGATTCCGGTGGAGACTCCATGCTTGGACACTTACGGTTGAGTTTGGGGGGATGAGATATTGATCGATGATTCTGGGCTTGGATGATGGTGTGAGACGGGGTTGGGACATGGGGATTGGGGGGTAGAGACGGAGGGTTTCGGTGATGATGGCGTTGAGGTAGGGGGTTGATGGGGTTTCGGGGGTTGAATTGTTCTGGGGATGGGAGGTGAGGGAGAGGTGGAGTTTTTCTTGGATGGGGAGGTTGGAGGGGATGGAGAGGGTGTGTAGGAGGTAGGTGAGAGAGGCGCCGGTGGTGTCGATACCAGCAGCTAGATGGTCTAGTATCTCGGCTGCGATTTGGGTTTCTGATAGGGAGGGAGAAGCGTGTTGGAGGGCGTGGAGAAGAGAGTGTGGTTCTTGGGTTAGGTGGATGCATGAGGAGAGGATGTATGTGTTGGTTAAAGGAGTGGAGCGTTGGGGAAAGAGGGAGAGGAAAAGGGTGGAGAGGGGTTGGAGGTAAAGGGTCAAAAGTTGGTCTGTGAGGGTGTGAGATTGGAAAGTCGAGAGACAATTTCGAGGGAATTATAGAGGGGAGCGTTCAGTAGAAGTGTAGGTAAAGCAACTTACTCTTGAGACTTGAGTGATACGTCATTTCTTCCATTATTTCCATGCCGGCCTTCTCTTCGATAGATTTGATTCCCGCTTTCCCGAGTAGAAAGTGGCTGGCACAATCTAATGCAAAACAATGCGCATATCTCTGTTATTTTATCAATGGTCATCTTTTACACTAGGACAGAGTTTACAGATTCATAGAGAAAATCAGAACTCACATAAACATCAATGGATCCATTCTCTGAGTCCTCAACCTTTCGAAGGAATGCTTGACTTCTTTCTTTAATTCCATCCATGATAGCAGGTTTGAGGATCTCGGAATTTCGGTATGGCTTTGCGATATTCTTCTTCTTTTCTTTGTGCTTCATGGTTGAATATCATTAGTATCATTATGGTCCTATTTCGCTCTTCCATCTTTCACTAGAAAGATTCTAGACTTGTGGTATCCAATGTGGTGAAAGTTCCACCCCAAATTTCCAAGACATTCAAAACGCAAATATTCCAACAGGGGCAAGGAAATTAGGAAAACACACCTCCACCCTTCTTTCTGTAGAGAAAGTAGTTCTAACACCCAATTGTCTGAAAAGTCCATAAAATCCCGTTTTATCCAACTCTCCTCCCTCATTTCCATAGACTCCTTTCACCCCTTCGCTCCCGCAAAAAGCAAACTCTCTTACACCTATTCGAATGCTATCTCCATATCTCTTGTGGAGATTGTGGATGTATGTTCGTCGATTACCATTCCATTCATGGTATTTTAGGACTAAGTTTGTGAAATGTGTGTACCATGGGCCTGGGGGAAAGTTTGAGTTTTGAATGTTGAGAAGGATGGGGAGAGTGGAGAAGAGAATGATGGTTAGGTAGATGAGGGGAGTATAGATGATTATGAGGGCTTGGATGTTTGGTAGGTTTAAAGAGGAGAGTAGATTGGGAAATATATTGGAGCTCATGATGGTAACTCGTGGGTTCTGAGCTTCGGATTGTCCAGTGTGAGGTATTCTTGAGAAGGCCATCAAAAGATTCACCGATAGAGAAGAAACCAGAATTATGAATTGAAGATTTTATCTCAATCGAAAAGGAGCAGATGTAAACATTGTAACCAGAACATCGGATTCGCAAAGAGGAAGTCTGTTTGTTATTTCCCTTATCGAAGTGGGGAAGGAAAGGTCACGAACAGGTGGGGTCACCGGGCGCACTGATAAACGAACATCATTCCTCACGTTCAAGTACTCAGGATTATTGAATGAATCTGATTCTCATTCAAACTGACTCTACATAATTGGATATGTTCTAGAACTTGAGCTGGTAGTACTTATCTGATATTTAGAAAGTATCTGGCTATCAAATTTAGTGATGCTCTTGGTGCAACGCTTTTGAGCTTTTACAGTTGTGAAATCAACGAGAGCTACCAATATCTGTTCTGCTAGTAAAAGTTGGTAAAGGAACTTTGTCTTATACAGTTATCTTCCTGAATGTATGTCCAAAAATGAAAGTTCGGTGTCAAGACTTTGTATACTATCGGGACTGAGGAGAAGGTATTTCACTACCGTGATTCATGGTCAACATTAGCTGCGTAGGTCGCGAAACTGTTTAGAACGGCACTTATGCGTGCTGAATACGGACATTCACGATCTGTACCCCCAACTTACATCATATTGTTAGTGCAAATATTACTCTTGGAGTGAGGGTGCAGCTCCGTTGGTTCTTGGAGGAGGGACTCTTGCAGACATTCCACCAGTCGAGAGGCGCGGAAAGTACATTACATCATTCAAAAAGTCCTCTGAGAACACCTAATACATATCACGAATATTCATTAATGTTTGCACCCAGTTCATGCCGTACAATTATGTTTTAGATAGTTTCCTTCCTTGAGTTCATCTAATTTTCAGAGTGCTCGACACTCATAAGCTGAACATTGAGTGGGACTTTATCCCAAGTCCAAAAGATCTTCTGGTCAGTCCAATTCTGCAACGTCTCCCCGCTAGGGACTTGGACATGAAAGTTCCAAATAAGTCGCGAAAGAATAAGCCGCATCTCCATCCAAGCGAGTGGCTGACCGATACAATTGTGTGCCCCGAGTGAGAACGGATGAAATACGTTTTCGGAATCAGCTTGCTTGTTCATAGAGGTCCGATCTCCAGAACTGTCCAACCATCGCTCGGGGATAAATTCATCTGGTGACGCAAAATTGCTTGATGAACGGAAAAGAGACCAGCATGCCACTGAAACAGTTGTGCCTCCGGGAACAAAGTGACCTGCGATTGTAGCACCTCCACTTGGTACTTCGCGCCTCAGACTATCAGGAAATGGGGGAGACATCCGTAGCGACTCATTGAGCACAGCCATAAGATACGGCAGCGAAATTGTGGACTCGTTAGTAATTTGCTCTTCCGTGCTAAAGTTTGTGCGAATTTCCCTTTCCAAGGTCTCTAGACACTTGGGATTCTCAAGTAAAAAGTGAATTGCGGCGGCCAAAGTAGTCGTTAGAGTCTCGCTGCCTGCAACAATCAAGGCCATGGAGTTCATCTCTATTTCCCCAACTGAAAGGGCCATCTCGTTCGAAGACTTGTTGTGATCGATGACATGAGACATAATATCAGGTTGGTTGACGTCATGACGAAGTCGGTCTTGGACCCTAAGATGACCTGTCTCAAGAGCTTGACGTAGATCTTCGAGAGCTGAAGCTGGGGTGATCTTCATGAGAAACGCTTCGAGCAATGGATAGTATTTGATAGAGTTTGCAATAAGAACGGCTTTGAAATGAAGAACTACTTTAATCCACGGATGATATGAGCTCTCTTGAAGGCATTTGAAAGACGAACCCCATCCCAGATCTCCGATGATGTCAAAGGTTGTAAAGTTCAACCATTGCACTAAATCAACAGTACCATTATCTGTACGCTGCCCAGCGATAGCTTCATTCAATCGAAGAATCAATAGATCTATGTATTTTTTGACAGTTGGTTCATGGCTTTTTGTGGCTCTGTCTGAGAATGCTTGCTGAAAAGCTTTGCGAAATCGAGCATGGTCGTTGGCGTTAGCAGTAATAAAATTGTGTGCCTCAACGCCAGGTGGTCTAGAGCCCCATTCTTTTGGGCGGATAAACTGCTTCTGCAGATAAATATCTTTCCATGCTTGAGGGTCTGTGAACGAAAGCTCGTCTGGAGCAACTCGTAAAATAGTACCATATTCATCGTGCATTTTCTTGATGTGATAAGGAAGTATCCCAGAAAGCATAGTGTAGATGAATGGAACTCGCGATACAACCCATGTAGGACTTCCACGGAACTTTGATAAGGGGTGGAAAAAGGCGTTGTAAACCACAACAGTGGCAATATACTAGCAAGAAAATCAGTCGACATTCTTGTTTGGAAACCAGGTGACAAAATTGTCAATCTTACGCTTAAAACCGATATCAAAAATGCATTGCACAGACTTCTGTAAGGTAAATTCTCCATTTTACTACATAAAACCAAAAACAGGGAAAGAGTGAGAACGAAGAAATGCTTGGTAGAGGAAATGATGGGCCTTCTCCGGATAGTAAGCGTATGAGATATGATCAAGCAAGCGAAGTACTTCGTGGCACTTGACACACTGCACCTCATACATGCTTTAATACTTTTCCAACGGCATGCCGCAACGACGCGGAATCATGACTATCGAGAGTGTAGGGAAGTAACCGTTATCCCGCCTGGGCTTTGCTTATGTCGTTGCTAATATGTGGAGTCTGCTTATGCTGGCCCCGCCGCCCATGTCTTTTTGGCCGTGTACCAAGATTCTAGATCAATCTCATCAATATCTACGTTGTCAATGTCGTGCCTGCGTGCCTACCATACATTTTGGAGCCTCGGAGGGCTACTTCCGTGTTATTGAGTTTACCAAGGTGTAGATTAGTAATCTCACATGGATATGCCAACGACATCAATACATTGATGTATCAAAGACAGATAGGTAGCTTGTGATTCTAATAAGGATTGATGTTTTCTTCTCTCTTTTGATTTCAACTAGTCATTGTAAGATCTTACATTTGTAACATCAATGGTCCGGAATGAGAAGGTGGCTATCCTGATGGAGATATGTTGTGATATCTACCCATTCCTTACTAGGTTGGTATTATGCCAACAGCTACCAACAGCCACCAACTATCACCAACAGCCCATGTGCGAATCCTCGCCTGAAATACATCTTTATATCATTTCTACATCCGCTCCAATCTTGTTCCCTTTTGATATGGGGTAAGATATTCATGGTCCAAATTCGACTTTATAGATAAATCTCGAAAGTACCCCCACCTACCGATATTGTTGGTATTACTCTTGTAACAACTTGTGAACTAAAGATCTGTACAGAGGGCATCTTCACAAATCTCACTCAATTTTATACTAAGCATGTCGTCAGATTCTTGCTTATGGTCAAGGGTACCTACCCAAGTGGGTAGTGAAGCTCCAGACTATGGTCTAATTTGATGATGAGGATACAATGAGTTATGCAAGGTATTGCTAGGCAATACAAAAGTACAGGAGTCTAGATGCTTGAAGGGCAAATTTCCAATTGTTTGAGAACGTCAGATGTGCTTATTCGTATTCATCCCCACTAATGATATCCTTGCAATTGACATTTGTCAACTATCTGAAAAGCATTCGTACTTTCAGTCCGCTCAATCTGCTAGAATTCATTCCAAAGCATTCTGCATAGCTTTCTCATCTTTCACTGTCAGGAAAGTTTCAGCTCAGAAAGGTCTGGTCCTTCGACAATATTCCCCAATTGTTGGATCATGGTTTCTACCATCTTACTTTCTATAGCTGTGGTCGTAAGTGCTTTTGTATTTTCCCAATATCGAAGTCTACAGCGACGAATCGAGGAAGCCAAAAAATCGGGGTTTAAATATGCAATTTCTCTGTAAGTCCTTCCCTACAATGTAACAAGATTTTCTTGCTGAAGAACATTTATGTAGAGTATACTTCCAATCGATACCATGGATCATCCTCCAGAATATCTTTATACCGTTCCTTTCCAGACTTCCCAGCAAATGGACTCAGTCATGGCTTCCGCTTTCAAAATGGGGCGAGACCTGGCATGAAGGCTATGAGCCCTTCAAGAGAATGAATGATGATTCGATAATGATAGTTTCCGCAGGGGGCAATATACTCTGGACATGCGATCCCGAAGTTATCATGCAGGTGTCTACCCGACGCAACGACTTTGTTAAGCCAACTGAAATGCTTGACATGCTCAATATTTATGGGCCTACCATCACCGCTGCTGAGGGGGAAGAGCACCGCATTTTCAAAAAAGTGGCTTCGCCATCGTTCAATGACAAAAACTTTCAGGCGGTTTGGACAGGTGCTATTGAGCAAACTGAGATGATGACGCAAAAGTGGCTCGATAATGGCTCTGTTTCTGACCTCAACAGCGATGCTGCAAAGCTCGCTTTGCATGTCATCAGCAAGGTGTTCTTTGGAAAGACCATCACGTGGACGGAGAATGATACGAAACCCAGTCCAGGGCACACTTTGACTTATGAACGTGCAATAAGTACCGTTTTCGAGTACAACAGTACTATATTTCTAACCCCTCGACCAATTCTTAGTAAGTAAATTCAGCACCTCTACTTTCCGTGCATACTAAGTTGTAAAAGACTATTTCCCTTTGAAAATCCACAAAACCGCAAAGTAAGCGTTCGTAGAATGGGGAAAATACATGGAAGATATGCGAGACAGCACCGCCAAACATCTCCAAACTCACGATGTGAAAGGAGAAGGGACTCTCCTCGAACACTTTGTGAAAGCCGGTACGCCCGGACTCAGCAGTGCTGACTTGTCGATCCCCGAGGCTGCGATCCTCGGCAACATTTTCATCTTCATTCTCGCAGGCCACGAAACGAGCACAAATATCTTCACATACGCTGTGATTCTTTTAGCATGTAGGCCTGATTTTCAATCATCTCTACAAGCCGAAATCAGTACTATTATCGGTGGCCGTCAACCAAGTCAGTGGTCCTATAAAGCGGACTTCTCTAAACTCATCAACGGCCACGTCGGTGCGCTAATGAAAGAAACACTTCGACTCTACACCGTCCTTCCCTTTCTACCCAAAATCAACAAAACCAACGAGCAAGCATTGAGAATAGGTAACCAGACACACATCTTACCCCGCGACACACTCGTCATAATCAACACAAGTGCCACACATCGCAATCCCAAATACTGGTCCGAGATCCTAAAAACACATGCAGATACGCCATCATATCCCTCATCCGATTTTCACCCGGAGCGCTGGCTGCGGTCCTCGGAGTCAAAAGTATACAGCCCACCTGAAGGAGCGTATATTCCATTTGCAGAGGGCCATCGTTCTTGTCCCGGACAACGATTTGCGCAGGCCGAATTTTGCGCGGCTATTACTCGGTTGTTGAGCGAGTTTAGTGTAGAACTGATTTGCGAACCAGGAAAGGATTATGCGAGCACTGTTCAGAAAGTAGAAAAGCAATTGGCACATGACACTGTATTTGATATGGGCTTGAAAATGAAACACCCGGTGCCGTTAAAGATTGTTAGGAGAAAAGCATAATTTCCGAGCCTGTCTTTACATTTAGTTTGTTAGGGAAGCTTGTAAGATGATCTCGGGCTGGATGGCTTGTCTACATGTGCTTGTAGACTAGACTTGTAGTATTTACATCGATTTAGGAGATGAACATTCAAATAGATGATTGCGTATTTGGCATGACCTCCGATCGAATCATATACCGCGCTCGTACAAGAAACTTAACTACCAATCACTATCAACGCAGTTTTAGTGCCTGGAGATAATATTGATCAGTTCATCCTCACTCAACTTCCACCTCCACAAGCCCCTCTGAAACTCCATCCGGCGTCGGATAGAACCCCAAGACTCTCAACCCCGCTCGCGAGAGCATATCTACAAAACAATCTCGCGTTCTCTCCGCCGCTCCCAAAAGTGTCATCATGTTAAAGTCCTGCGTGACTGCCCACACCGACGCTCCCGATCTCGGAACAATCTGTTCATGTATAAAAAGCTTGGAGTAACCCGGCTTCATAGCTTTGCGCAGTCGAGTGAGAATAACCACACATTTGTCGTCGGGAAAATCATGAAGAACCTGACGGATATAATATGCTCGAGCTCCTATTTTACAAACACTCAGTAGATATTGACATAAAACCCGATTTCTCTGCGCGATTCGGAGTTGGGATTGAGAAATCTACCTTTAACTGGCTGTTCCTCAAAAATGACATGAACCAAATACTCGATTCCCTCATTTCTACCCGCACCACTAACAATATGAAGCAAATCCTGCACCACAAACTGGCCCTCCAGCTCCGGAAACGCAGCTCTCGGCGCGACAGTCTTTTGACCATACCCACCTCCCACCTCCACCCACAAAGCCGAGATCGAACTATCGCCCTCCGCCAGAAATCGAGCTATCGGGAAAAGATCCTGCACCAACGAGGTTCCTTCCGCCCAGGTACCCATCAGCGTTGCGAATGCCTGCGCAGTATCGGGTTTCTCTCCAAGAATCCCAGATAAATCTTTATTTGGATGATGAAAAGCAGTCTGCACCGCAGTATTCTGCGGATTCGTCGGGTTCTTATACTTTGTATCCGCCAGGAATCCAGGTAAGGCCCTGTACGCTGGACCCAGAAAATCGGCACTGCGAAACCTGGAATTATGGGTGGGTAGTGCTCAGAATCCCCAAGTCACGACTCCTTTTGTGAAGGTCGACTCTGCAAATAATGTATATGAAGACGAAAGCGTGTAGTATTTATTTTCCATCCTATTTGATTGTGCCAAAAGTAGTTAAACTGCGGAGTAGACGTGCTTTTCAGTTTCCACAATAGTTTAAATTACAAGTACAACCATCACAGGGAATCATACCAAGCAAAACACCATCTGCTTCGGTAGCCTGTGCTAACTGCTCTAATGTTTTTTCTCCGGTGGATGGTAGATGGAATAGATCCAAATCCCACGCGATACGAATGCAAACACTTTCTACAGGCTTCACATACCATCAACATCAGCAAAGATTTCAAAAACAATACTAGAGTGATTCACGAGATAGATATACCTGAGAAAGCAACACTCTCGCAAGAGCATCAGCCGGTGTCTCTAGAGCAAGCGATAAATCTCGAGCTGCAAGTCGTAATTTTGTTTTCAGGATGTGGTTTTCTAGGAGTGAAGCGGGCGGGTTAGATGTGAGGGTTTCGAGTGCGGAAAGGAGGCTTTTGGGGGATAGAGAAGTCATCATGCGTGGTAATTATGTTGAGCATTTGAAAATGGTAGGATGAAGAAAGTAGTAGAATAAGTATGAAATAATCAGAATTTATATGCGAGTCAATGGAAATAGATATAGTGCAGCATAAGCCAACACACTGTTGGAACACAGTCCAAACCAATGGTAAGATTGCTTTCCTATGCATTTCGCCCTTTTGGAGGGACATTACTATGTTAAAAGGAGGCACATACATGATACAGCCATGAATAAACATGTTCCACGGAAACTTTATCCGAGAAATAGCAACAGGAATGAAAGTAAATAAGACATCACACTACTAATGTATCCAAGCTAATTCCAACAATTCACGAATCAATTGTTTTGATTACCGACTCCCGAGACGTACCGTGAAGAACAAATGATATGTATGATTAAGGCAGATACATGGCGACACAAAAATAGCAATAACAATCTAACTTTTTATTCTTGTATATATGTATGTATTAACTGGCTGATAAAAGGCTCAAGGCGCAATGCAACATAAAGGCAAAGAAAGAACGACTATAAACAACAAATAACAGGACTAAAAATCCTACCAATTCACTTACAAGATAATCCATAGTAGATTCCTTCCCCCTTCAAATATGCTACCCCCTCTATTGCCTTTCCGACAAGCCCCGTTCAACCTCTCCATTCCCACCCTTCCTCTACCCTATTCACCCCAACTTATCTCCTGACCCCACTCACCCTTTTCCACCTGCTCTCCACCCCCCAAGACCTCCTCCACCTCCCCATCCAAACACTCACATAACCCCCTCCCACACCCTTCCTCAACCTCCTGTCCATCTTTCCCAATCAGCACCGGCAAATTTTCATTCAATCCATTCCTCAAATGTCCTATCTTTCCAAACCTCACATTGCAAATGACGAGCCAGCGAACTCGAAATGCTCCAGCGCTCTCCCAGTTAATCGAATTTTGCCAGGAAGGGACTTTAATTGCGCCGGGGAGGGTTTCCATTCTCGCCTATTGGTTTACCATGATGAGTTTGGGGAATTGGGGAAGAAAAATTGGAGAGGGAATACACACATAACCTTGAAAAGCTCGACTTTTGTTGATTGAGAAGATCAAAATAACATTTTTGCAGGTCTCGAAGGCTTCCTTGAAGATTGGTCCATTTTGTGCTTGGGTGGTCCATATACCCTTTTGGATATTAGCTGAATCGGTCTTGCTTGCTTGATTCTAATCCACTTACATCTTCAATACATTTAATAACATTTTCATCGTTGAAGGATTTTACTATGAAATATCTTGTATCTGATAGCGTCAGTATGTGGACTTCTCAACTCTCCTCAGAATATTCTATAGCTATTGGCAGACACTCGTCACTCAACTTCACAGCAAACAAGACAGTGATTCTGATAGAATACTTTTTCAACTAATTGCATGGGTATCAAGAAAGCGCGACTAAAGCAATCTCTATTGACTTGAAATAAGATAAATAGAAGCGTCGGACGAGATGGGTGATTTTCACTGACCACCTTTACCGCCTCGATCAAAACCTCTTGGATCTTTGTAAGGTTTGCCAAGAGCATTTCGCGATCCAAATCCAGCTTCGCTCCTTGACTCGTGTGACTCCCAATTACCACGACCTCTTCCCCGACCTCCTCGACCTCGATAATTTGGATCAAAGGCCTTTCCTCTGTAACTTCCATGTACTTCAAAAGATCTTTCGCGTGCAGTCCGTGCAGGGGGTCTGCTCTCAAAGGTCCTTAGACCGGGGGACACTTCACGATCATTACTGCGGCTTCGACCACGGTTACGAGATTCTTCGAAATAATAACGACCTCCACGGTCACCATTGGCGCGGCGAGAAGAGTCATAGTCTACTGAACTTTGTCGACGGCGATTTTCATGTTCTCGATCCTCAAGGCGTGCTACTTTTCCATAGTTTGCCTCCCTTTGAGAATCTTGGACTTCACTGTAGTTGCGCTTGTTAGATGTTAAACGATCAGGAAGATCTGTAGACTCCGCTACCGCTGGGGTGTTCTGAGGTTGTATTAAGCTGTTCATCAAGTTTCCTACGTTAAAATTTACAAGACTTTGACCATCTTGTATACCTGCTAAGAGCTTGGCTTTTTGTTCTTCCAATTCCTTCAGAGCTCGTGCAGTTTTCAAGAACTTGTTTCTGTGTACTATATCATGATACTGAGTCATGTCCAGCCATTCCCTCAAATCTGTGTCATGGGGTAAAACTTGTGCCAGTGTTGGTGGTTTAGACTCTCGTGAAGATTTGATTTCTTCCTTCGCAGCCTCGGGACGGCGATAATCATCATTATTATCACGAGAAAATCTGCGTGGGTGATGTTTTTTGTCAGTGTCTTGATGCGACTTTTTTTCATATCTATGATCGGAAGCTGGATTTCTCTCTGGTCGATAATCGCCGTCTTCTCTGCGTTCATCTCGAAAACGAGGAGGTTCAGGTTTTGATGGCTGTGCTTGTGCTGGTGCTGGACGTCGAGTCAAAGGGCCAGGTTCTTCGGCCTTTACACGAACATAAGCTGGCCGAGTTGTGCGCTCGTCTTCCGGTTTAAGAGACTTATCATTAACGTTAGCCGATTTTATATTGAACTGATTTCCTTTTGGCTCCGTGGGCGGAAGCTTCTTAGGGCTAGGCTCATCTAGTATCTCTCCTTCCGACATCGACCCATTTCTAACATTCCTGACTTCGCTCTCAGCTAGAAAACCATTACCGGCTCGATCACTGGTAGATTTCTTGATTTTTGTAGGAGTTCCTGACATTTGGGGGTTCGCAGATAGAATGTTTGTATTGATAGGAGGTGTTTTTTTGGCAGTACCATTTCCTGCCACAGGGTTCATTTTTGGTCCTGCTCTTGGCTTTGTTTCAGAATAATCAGAAATGAGATCATTTATCTCTTTTTCCCGGCGTAAGTGTTCGTCGAGATTTACCCCTTGAGCAGGACTCTTAGGGGATGGTTGTAATGAGCTCGACGATTCTATCGCAGTTATTTGTTTTGCTGGTGCAAGAACTGGTGGGGTAGCTGAGTTGGCTCGGCCTTCTTTCCCCTTCATCAATCTTGCTCTTAATTCGGCAGTTTTGGCAGCAAGCTGTTCTTTCGTCGGCGTAGGAGTAGGAGGAGCCACACTATTATTAGTTGAGTTCAATTGAGGGGAGTACTGGGCAGGTAGGTAGAGGTTAGCTGTATGCGCTTGCTCCCTAAAGTCCATAGTAAAAGTTAGGTCGTCTGTCCCAAGCACTTACTGGTGGTCGATTGGGAGATATGAATTGATTTTGTGCGAAAGCTGCCTGGTTGTACATAGGAATCTCTGGAGAGAAGCCATTGTAACCATCAATATTCATTTCGTCATATTGTAATATGTTTGGTTGTTGAAAGAAATTGGGGCCTGGTCCATCGCCAGAGAAAGGAGATTGTAGTGGTGTAGTTCCAGATAGATCATCTTGATTGAAATTGTTTGGTTGATATTGTCCATTACTTGGAAAGCCGTTATTTGTTGGCCACATGGCTGTAACAAGAATTTGTCAAGTTGACTGAGTCTTTTGTTGAGTCCAAGGTTCGACGACTTGTTCCAAATTGGATATTTTATTTTTGAAAAGTAATCCGCACAACGATATTTTTTCGCACACTATGTCGAAAGACTTGTAAGAGTGAATATTGACAATGAATAAATGAATGAGTGATTGCCTGAATAACTGTGTTGTGGTACAATAGAATTAGATATTTGAAGTACTTGAACTTTGCAAAATCATATTACGACGAGGTAGCTTGAAGGGCTTCTGCTTCTTGTTCTTCTTATTCCTTGAACTTTGGTGTATGTGAAAGGCCTTTTTCAGAAATCTTCTATAAATTATAAGAGAAAGATCTGCTGAAAGATTAGTAAAAAGAAAAGGGTGGAAGAAGAAATGTAATAGTAGTAGTAAGTTGTATTAAATATCAAGTGGCAGATGTGAATGAACACTTTTCGAGATATGCAGCTAGGTCCTAAACCGAGCTAGTAGGATGCCTTAGGCGGTTAATGACATGAGAATAAACCTTGTAAAAAATATATCTGATGATTAATGCAGCTTTCCGATTGATTGGGATGGATAATTCTACTTTTATTCAGGTGATGTGATGAATGCGACTTTCTCATTGGGGAGTCAATTATGAAATGGATGCAGTTTTCCGATTGGATACTATTAAATGAGGTATATCGTCTTTCCATTTCTTTCGTACCTAGGTATTGGACGGGATGAGAAAGCTCATAAGTAGCCTATCAGAGTTAATTCTCACTTGCTCTAACCTTATCATTTTCCTCATTCGATATGTTCTGATACAGTACCAACATCATCCCAACATTTGCAAATCCCCAACTGTTGTTTCCATGTCATGCAGGAGGTAAGAATGATGAGAACAAACCACTCTGGATGCCGGCATATATTATCATGAACATTCCAACCATTGTGGCTGTTGGACCCTTTCCTCTCCCAACCAAAGCTGCCATATACCACAAATATACAGGAGAAGATGATGAGATCCTTGTAATAATCTGAACATGACCGCTTATCAACGTGTATACTGTGAGAATCAACTGTGTGAGCGCTAGATTCCGGATGATCTGGACTTTATCGACTTGTCGGATCCCGTTAACTGGCGGGTTGACATCTTTCTGCGGGGTGGCTGGGGTTTGTTGGAACTGAGAGTCCCGCAATACCCCATTGCCAGATACTCCCAAGATTACAAGCATAGGCATAGCAAGTAAAAATAGAGGTATATTTGAGGTTGTCCAATATCTGAACGGTCCGTTATTCCTAGTGAATGTTAGATACGGTCGCATTCCATCAAATCCATCGACATACCAATAAAAAGCCTGCACGAAAGCATATATACTTGGCAGGGTATTCGAACACCATACTCTTGGATTCGCGATGTCCGTTGCCCCACAGTACTCTTGATATGCGATATACTGTGGTGTGAGAAAACCAATCCCAACACACATGCCTCCCAAACCA